AGCCATGTTTGGCATTAAACCAAAAAGCGGCATAGCATCGTCATCTTTGTCTGGCAAACAAATTGCAAACATTGAAACTGAAGAACAGCTCAAAGAAATTGTTAATACAGGTAACCCCCATATAACATGGGAGTTACATTCCAAAAAATTGCCGTGTTATGCAAATCCGTGTTATACGAAACAAAGAACTAGTGCGAAAAGGGAGGTTAGGTTCCAAAAATTAAAAAACATGCTGTTAAATCCTTCTTTAAATTGGATTTATTAATCATTTTTTTTATAGGTAAAATACTTATTTATTATTTAAGTAAATATTTACCAGAGGATTATTCATCCTATATTATGATCTCAGCGTAAGCATCATTAACTGGTAACAGTTTTTGGTTGCGTTCGTTATTAGCGGTTGCTCCGCAACAGGAGTGTGCTGCCGTTTGTAGGCATTTAGGAATGACAGTGAAAGAAAAATGGCGGCCCGCACTATCGATAGTATCGTGATGGAGGAATCTATAATTCTAAAATAAGCTTTTAGAGGAAAAAATTTAACCATTAAATGGATTATTTGTTGAAAGAGCATTCAAAGTAGCCACAAAAGCAATTAGAATGCTTGCGTGGAGTTATGCGGAGGTATAAAAGAATGCACGCTATATTACATTTCATGTTGTACGAGGATTTTACCCAATTCTCAAACTGTGTTAGAGTGAATCCGTGCTATAGAAGTGCCGTGTTATACGGAGGTTACCTGTACTTTTAAAGAAAGTTTGAGCAGTGGCCATAACAAATACCATATTCCAAAGGAAAATATTGAAGAGGAGCTGCAACCCACCACGTCTTCATATCATGCCCTGACTGAACAACATGAACTTATTTCTATAAAAAGAGCAGCTGCGAAAGAGAATCTTCTACTGCAAGCAACGAAAATGTTGCGAACCTCAAAAAGAAAATTTCCTTCTGCTCAAATTGGTGATACCATATGAATACAAGTCCCTGATGGCGACTGTGGCCATCAGGTGCCCGAATACAGATGACCGAAATATGTTGGCAGTTGTTGGTGGAATAGAAGACTCCGACTTTTATAAATTAGCAAACAAAAAATGGTACCGTCAAGCAGCTTTATACCCGTAATCAGTTCATAATTTGTAAAGAAAAGTTACTTTCCATAGATGAGATTTTTTCTCAAGAAATATCACTGAGAGAAGCAGCTGCAGCTAATTCAAAAAGTGGAGGGCAAGGCTTATACATACTGTCATTGCAAAAAGAACTGTTCCACGAATAAATGCAGTTGTAAAAGCAAGGGACTCTTGTGCAATTCAAAATGCCATAACAGTTTAAGTTGTTGCAATAAATAAGATTGTATAACATTAATCACATAATTTATGTGTAAGTTTATTATTGTATTATTTTCTTTAATGTAAATCATTAAAGAAAATAATATGTACTGTTCGTTTTAGATTCAACAGTTTATTTACATGTGCTGTTACTTAAGCTTTCTCCTATTTTGACATATTTAAAGTTGCATTTTTATCTTAACGTAATAAAAATATTTTTATTCAACATTCCCCATCAATGCATGCTGAATGTCGACATTTGTCGGTGTAAGTGAGAAATAATGATATTTAGTGAATATTTCGTACATACACGAAACGACTGTGTGAATGCTGACATTCGCCAGAGAATGTTGACATTTGCCAGATATTGGTCATTCACAGTAACATGTGCATATGAATCATTATGAATAGTGATTTTGTGCAACAACATTTTCATTAATATTTTTGTATGTTTTTCAGTCAATCTTAATATAGTATAGTCATGCACTGTATCATCTTCAGATTGATTAAAGAAGTATGCATTGCAAGCAAACAGTAATGTGTATTGTTAATTAAAGAATGTATAGTAATGTCTGCAACATTCAAATCACATATAAGTTGTTGAATTTTGTGAAAATACAAAAAGTCCAGTAATCTAGCACCATTGTGGTTCTTAAGTAACAGATTAATGAACATCTACTTTATATGAAATAATTTAGTCATCTAGTAATTCATTATAATTTCATGATTATTTGCTTTTCTCAGAGACAATCCAAATAAAAATAAATTAAAAGAGTAATTACAATTTCTGTAAAATTACTATTCAAGATAATGTATATTTAGTTACTTTATTATATAATTTGTATCTTAATCCCCTATGTAAGAAAAAAAATCTCCTTAATATAATAAAAATGAATAAAGTTGGAAAAAAAATTAAATTGAAATTAAAAATAATATACAGTATATTAATTTATTAATATACTGTATATTAATTTATTAATATACTGTATTAATTTTTAAAGGTATTCTTTGCAATCTACATAAGAAAATTAACTATTTAAATGTGATGTACAAAATATAAAGTAAAACAATGTATGTTACGGAAATCTGGAATGTGAGAATTTTCATATACAGGATCACTGGTTGGGATACATTCAGTATGATGATCAGTATATGATATGAGGGAAAAACAGCATCAGTACAAAAGGGAATTTTAAATAAAAAATTAATTTGCAAATCTTAAAAGTAATTTTCTTTTTGATAAATAGTCTTCATATTTACATTATTAAATTTTTTTATTTGAATTTGAAAATCGTGTAATTATAACGTAATCTGAAACTAGGTTTTGTCACAAACAAAATTAATTTCTTTTAATTAATTTAGTTTTCTTGTACTTTGAAAAATGTAATTATTATAAATAAGTTAAATTTAATATCTTTACAGGAATCAAAGATATCAGTAAAGTGAAATTGGTGATGTCAGTGCTATATTGTATTATCTCATCAGTTTTACAATAACAATTAACATTGTATAAACATGCATATATTCATGTGTGTAATTCATACTACTGTATATTTACTGTCCATAATATCTAGTCTTTTACTAAAGAATCTTATGATATTTTTTCCATAATTATCCTAGNTTTTTTTGCAAAAAATTCGCTGAACTTTGGAGATATAATATAAATATAAATTATTAATATAAATATAATTTTTATGGACATTAAATAATAAATGGTTTTTAGTAGGTCTGCTGCTCATTTAAACTCGATAGTTTGTACAATATCCGCTATTGGTCTAGATTCAACCAATCCTGTCGCAACATGAGTCGGCGTTGACGTTTTACTGAATTATACGCGTTTTTTAGCGTGTTTGTACAAATACTGTCGTAATTTTTTCACCGTCGTGTAGGAATCCGAACTATAGAAACCCGTTTTATAGGGGGGTCTACTGTACCTTTTCTGTTGATCAATTCTGGCTTTTTCTGTTTGATGGTATCACTGAATTTGTCCATTTTATGGCACTACATTTTCAAATCAATTGTGGAATTGTCTGGTAGAAGTTCAAAAAAAAAAATTCCTTAAAATCCCACCAAAGAGAGCATCTCTTTCTTTAAGAACATGTATCGAGCTTTGGAATGAAACCAAGTCGTTTCAAGTGATCATAAATGGTTCAATTCGACAAATTTAATCTCTTAGCGATTTCTTGTGTTGTTATTTGGTGGCTTGCTTTAATCAATACCTTTATTTTGTCTTCATCAGCTTCAACTGGCCTTCCAGAACGTGGTGCATTTTCAATATCGAAATTGCCAAAATGAAATTTTGTGAACCAGTTTTGGCACTGTTGTTCTGTCAACACATCATCTCCATACATGTCACCCAATTTTTTCTTTCTTGAACAGCATTTTTATTATTTTTTTGGTAATAAAAAAGCAAAATATGCTGAAAATGCTGCTTTCGGTTTTCCATATTTGATGGGACACCAAAAAAGACAATTGCACAGAACCAAACAAAATTTTTTACAAATAAGCCTTGAAATGTCAGCTATCAAAATAAGTAATGACAATATGATTTAAAATGAAATTAGCAGGTAAAAATACAATTAATTTCCCATATATGTTTTATCTTTCTGTAACTGGAAAAAATTTTCTTTGTATAAGGAATGAATTTGAATTGAACTGAAATGAATGTTTTTTATTGACTATGATAAATAATTTTGAAAAATAATACAAGAATTGTATCAAAAATAATAACCAACATCATATTAAAAATAAATCATTGGCAATAGATGAATTCTTAATATATGTCTGGTATTGACAGCAGTTATTTTACTCTGCAATATGAAATGACATCACTTGTATCACCCATGTCATAACAATGCAGTATGAAAAAATAGTCATTGTATTGTTTTGACAATATGCTGTGATTGAATTTTTTGTTGAGGACAAAATTTCAATGGTTGATATTGTAAATGTGGTTGGCAATGTAAGCATTCATGTAAATTTCTCTATACACTTTTCTATATTTTGATGTTTGATATTTATCAAAGACCAGAATGTATATAGAGAAGTTTACATGAATATTTACATTATAAGACAATTAGAAAACATTAAATAACAAAAGTGGTAAACAGACATCATAGATAAGTCTCTTAATGATTGCTTATGAACTGTTTATAACAAAATAAACAAAGAAAGACTTGATGATGCTTTCATAAGGAAGAGGAACAAATTGCAATCAGAGAAAAATGTAACACATTTTGGAACCTATCAGTGTGAATTGAAAAAGATGATTTCAGGATATCATAAAATTTGGGCCCATTGGGTTCCTTGATTACTGTTGCATGATCAGAAACTTGATCCGCATTCAGTCCAGATCTGGCTCTTTTAAATTTTTATCTGTTCTATTTTATAAAGGAATTGATACTAGGCTAACATTACAAAACTATGAAACAGTCATGCAAGATTTTTTCATTGTGACTGAACAGATTAAATAGAAGGGAATGGCCAACTTTTAGTGATCAGAATATAAATTTTTTTAAATTTAAAGATACATTAATTGTACTGATGTGAGTTATTTTCTTTTCAGTGATATTATTTAAAAGTAAAATTAATGTGGCCAAAACTTTCAGTATAAAAAAATTTTATTAAATTTAATATTTTAATTTTAAAAATATATCTATATATATTTTTATATTTTAGGAAAGAATATATGCCATGGATTGGTCCTGATCCAAAAAATTACAAAGGTCCCAATCCATCTTTATGCCATGGGCCAGACCCCAACAATCTTGGTAGCCAAAATAAAACTCGAGCCAAGGGACCTCAACCAAATTTAAGAAGAGGACCTTTGGCTAGTATAACCTCCTATGTTGATTCAAATGATACCATAGAATGTAATCTGGACCTAAAGAATTCAAGATCCAGTTGAAAAGTTTCCTGCCAATAAAATTATATGGTAAGTAATTTAAGATAATTATTCATTATTTGCATTTAATTTTGACTTTTAATATTAAAATTTTCGTTTTAACAAATAACAAATTATTTCAGATGATATTATTTTAAAAAATGAAATATTATTCATTAAATTATAAAAATTGTATAACTTAATTTTTTCTTCTTATTGATAATTATGTAAATTTTAATTCATTTAAAATATGTCAAATCATAAATTTTTAATTTTTTTCAACTGAAATCTGAAAATTTATAATTATAATAATATTTGCTACAGTAGAACTTTGTTCATTCAGCATTTGATAACCTAGAATGTGTGGTAATCTGGCACTCTCTGAAAATTAGTTTATTATCAAACAATTTCAGATTATAATTTGACTTGCTGGTATTCTGCAAAGTGGAATTTATTTTGGACACATCATGTGCTAAAGAAATGCAGTAGACATCTAAAAAAATAAATGTATGTGTTACTGTGAAAGAAATTAGAAAATGTCAATATTCTCTGGTGAATGTCGACACACAAAATAAGTTAGTGAAAGACTGAATATTTGATTATATTATTATACATTTGAACAATTGCCGGTGTATGTCAACAAGCACAGATAAGCTTTCGTGGAGGTCAAAACAACACCCAAGAAGCCGATGTCGACAGAAATCCTTTGTTCTGCCGCAATTGAAATTACATGGTATCTATTTGTTATACTCTGGAACACTGCTGTTTGTCAGTCTTACGCAAGATTTGCTGGTGTGTGCAACGTTTTTTTAAATTTTAATTTTTTATCTGATACCTTAATTTATATTGAATGGATAATGCAGTGAACCAAGAACTTTTTTTTTTTTTTTGAAAAGTTACGTGCATTAATTGCAAGTAAACGAGAAGATAATTGTTTTTATTTTTCTCAAGAAAAATACTCTAAAATACTTTCTGAAGTGATTTCTGCTAAAACTAAATGCAGCACACCTTTGGATTACAGACGATTAAAACGTTTTGACGATTTAAAAATTAATGATGAAGAGAAATAAATTGTACCATTAAAACCAGGAGAAATGAATATACAGTACTATGTTACCAATGATAAATTGTTCATTGAAACTCACAGCAGAACAGGCCATGGAGGAAGAACACATATACTTAAAGAATTGCAACTTAAATACAAAAATATGACATATGAAGTTGTAATGTTGTATTTAAATTTATGTAAACAATGTCAAATGAAACATAGTGCACCTAAAAAAGGTATTGTGAAACTAATGGTCAGTTCGGACTAAACTCAAGATGTCAAGTTGATCTGATAGACCTGTAGTCACACAAGGATGGCAAATTTAAGTTTATAATGGTGTATCAAGATCATTTACAGGGTTCCTACGCACCTGGAAAGTCAGGGATTTTCATTATTTTTTNTTGAATTTGAAAATCGTGTAATTATAACGTAATCTGAAACTAGGTTTTGTCACAAACAAAATTAATTTCTTTTAATTAATTTAGTTTTCTTGTACTTTGAAAAATGTAATTATTATAAATAAGTTAAATTTAATATCTTTACAGGAATCAAAGATATCAGTAAAGTGAAATTGGTGATGTCAGTGCTATATTGTATTATCTCATCAGTTTTACAATAACAATTAACATTGTATAAACATGCATATATTCATGTGTGTAATTCATACTACTGTATATTTACTGTCCATAATATCTAGTCTTTTACTAAAGAATCTTATGATATTTTTTCCATAATTATCCTAGAATATATAATATATATAAAAAGTTATATATAATATACATATAATATAATATAATATAATATAAGCATAATATGCATATTCATCTCTCATAATAATTTTAAATGTTTCATAATTTTATTATTAGTTGCTATCAAATTGTCTAATTTATTTAAAGTTTATAAAATTTCAAAATTATAATTGTTTTAAGAAGTTGAAAGCATTTAAGAATAAAATGTACTTTATTTAATATTTTTTTATTTTAAAATTTACATTGTTTTTTGCAGTTTATTGAAATTTATTACATACTTTAAATAAAATGAAAAATATAGAATTAAATGTTATCAAGTTTGAAAACTTAACCACAAATTAGAAAACATGATATTAGATTTCAGTGCATTTGTTCAGGATGTGCATAACTAATTTCAATTCTGTTTTTTAAATAAATATAACTCTTTTAATCATATAAATATGAGCTGCTACGTGTAGGCTAGATTACATAGATATAAGCCATAATATAAAACAGTTAACATTATGATAATGATTATCATCATTATCAGTTTTTAGTGGATATGACAAAGTGAATTAAACTATAGACATTTTATCTGTTTATAAAATGCAAATTATTCTGACAATTTCATCTTACATGTTTAATTTAATGTTTTATACATTGTATCTAATTAAATGTTGAAAATTATTTTGTGGCATTGTATATTTTGCATCATATTTTGTGCCTATGTATTTCTATCAGAAGTTGAAGAAAAGGATATTATTGTTTTTATTTTTTTTTTAAATTCATTACTGATTTTATTCATTAAATATATTTTCTGATTATAATCTATCTTGGTGTTCTAATGCACTCAAATTTTTATAGCAAACTATAATAAATACATAAAAAAATACATATTCATAAGATTACAATGATAAAGTTTCTGATACTATTACAATAAACTTTAGATCTACACTATATTTCACTTTATAACAAATAATAATAATTATGAAATGATGATCATATGAAGTAAGAATTTTTCAAATGGCAAACACCATCTTTAAGAATTATTTAGTAAATTATAAAGAATCATATTTTTAAAATGCATTTTACGAAGCCAAAAGCTAGTAATTTGTACCGTTGAGTTTTTTAACTGATTATTTTTGGTTTTATTTATTTTTTTCCTTCACTACTAGGTGTATTAATAGACACAAGGCATTTTTACATCATTTTTATTCTGAATCTTCTATAGGCCGATACGCATTTCGGGCAAAGGCCAGCGTCAAGAGTACATGCTGGAAGATGCTAGATGTCAAACCATGAAACCTTTACTGTGCCGACGGATGAGGGGCCTTTGCCCGAAACGTGTGTCGGCCTATAGAAGATTCGGAATAAAAATGATGTAAAAATGACTTGTGTCTATTAATATACCTAACAGTGAAGGAAAAAAACAAATAAAAGAAGACACGGTCTCGGAATACATAACATGATTATTTCTTGTTTAGGTTTAAGCTTATTTCAACAATGAATTGTTCAAATTTAATAATAATGATTTGCACAGATACTTATTTCACAAATTTTATAATTATTATTCATTAAAATAAGTTAAAATACAATTATAAAACAAATTGCACCCAAAATCTTTGTTATGTATTAGCATGTCATTTCAAAAAACCAAGGCCCATTCATAAATACATTTGATCTTGGATGAATATCAATATTTGATTGAATGATAGCATTTGATATTCTATCTGCTAAATGCTTTTGGTGTGTAATTAAATAATATGAGTTCACTTAAACAAACTTAAACACTTACTTTCTTTATTTGAATAAAAATTTATATACTAGTTTATACATTTTGAATATTTGAATAATTTATTAACAAACATTTATTTATTATATGAATCAGTTATAAAATTTATAGTATTTCTATAATGTTAATAAGTATTAGACATTAATATGTAACTGTATGAAAAATATACAAATCATACATCATATTTGAAATATGAAATTCTAAAATAAATAAATAAATTGAAATCAAATTAACTGCTACACATTTCAAGAATTTTACTTTGTTTTATAAAAAAATACTTAAAAATATTTTGATTATTGGTATTACAGCATAAAATAATTATATCATGCTATTATTTAATTATTATATTAATTTACAAAATTAATTGATATGAAATAATAGATGATTTCAAATAAAGTACATTTTATTGTTATTTAATATTAATTAATATGCTAATTAGAATTATTTTTTTAAACTAATAATTATATAATGGATGAATATTTTAAAATCAATATGATACCTAAAAGTGTTTAATAATAATAATAAAACTAATTGCCAAAATAAAGTAAATACAGAAGAGAAGAGAAAAAACTTATTTTCAATTCTAGAGTTAAATAAATCTTAAATTAATCAGATTGAAAATAATTGCATAATTTTACATTAATATTAAAAAGCATTTAATTTTTTATAAAATATTAATAATTTAAACTTTAAAGATTTTTCGCAAGTCAAGAAATTGTCTATGACATATTTTAATTATTAATAATTAATCCATTGTTGCTGCATAAAATATGATGCCTTATTCTTTGAAGTTTCTCTACTATAAACATTTAATTAAATGACCAATAATAATAAATATACTTGCCTCAAATGGAAGGCCATCATCTGTTTGTCTTCCACTATTTTCTTAATTAATCAGTTGTTAACTTTGTCTTCCTTTTCATATCCATCTGTCACTAGTAATATTGCTATTGGCAATTTATTCTTGATTTCCTCATATTGAGTTTCTTGAAAATACATCTATAATGTAAATATCATTCAAGTTCAGCCTAATTATTGCATTTTATGCTCATCTATGAATATTAATGATAAATCTTTGGATCCTTGATGGCAAGTTAACATATCTATAATTTTTAAATAATTAACCATATTAAGCCAAGTTATTATCGGTACAAATAACTTCACTTGTTTATCGAAATGTATAGAAATGTTTAGATTTATGAATAATTTAATTATGACTAATTACTTTTTTGAATTAAATTGTAATGACTTAGAAAACAATTTTCAAATAATAGAAATTACTACAAAAAAAAAGAACTGATATAACTTTGTTATATATCCATAATATGTTTAAGAAATACTATATTTATTCTAATAAACAATGCCTCTAATGCTAATTGCCCTATAATAAACAAAACAGGTGAAAGATGAAAAAGTTAGACAGGACATTTTAATAGTAAGTGTACTTATTGGAGGAATTTTATACTTATTTTAAACCAAAAAATTGAAAATTGTATTTAGTGTTTCCACTTTTAACATGTGTTGTGTGTTACATCATTGCTTAAATAATAATAAAATGAAAGAAGTTGCTGGATTTATTTCATTAATAATTGGCCTCAAATATTAGTTGTGTCCAATTTACAATGAATAGAAATAATAGTCATTCTCGAATAGTAAGAATTCCTTCTGCATAGTTGCAACCTGAAAAAAGAAAAGTTAGATGACACACTGTTTATTAGAATAAATGCAATATTCTGTTTTCCATATTCAGATTTTTGCAATAAATAGGTGTAATTTTCTGCATTATATTGGAAAATAGTTTGTTTCTGCTATGTTTATTACAAATTATTCTTTTTGGTCATTTAGTAATTATATGCAATACATATTTGAACTGGGAGTACGATAAGGAAAGAAGAAACAATACACTAAATTTCAGCAATAGTTACTTCAAAAACAAATGTTTTCAGCCTTCTTCATAGGCCTGAATCAGGTCTTATACACTGCATTTTACAAATTAATATTCAGTTTATAGAATGCATCAGTGTTCTTTATATAAATTTAACATTTTGGAATAATAATATTCAAACTGAGAAAAATATTATATTTTATGATAGATGATGCCCTTTGGAAAAGTTTTATAAGAAATATTTTTTTATAATATTAATAAACTAAAAGAGAACAATGTAACTAAGTGTTAGTTATCACTTCTCCTTGGCGTTTTTAATTAGATCCTCTTCCTCTTCCGTTTTGTATTTTCGAATGGTCTTAGCTTTCTTTCACTGCCTCGATATTTTTTTTATTTGCTTCTTTCCACATCTGATTCTTCTATCTTACATTGTTTTGGCATCTTGATTTTTCCACATTTTGAGGCTTTATATTTTCTACATTTATATTTACATTCAGCTCAAAACTACCTATCTTCATTTTTTGGATTATCTTCCTTTGATGGGTATGGCCACTTTAGTTTTTTCTTTAAGCAAAGAATTTCCCATGTTCTCTTTTCCACAGAAAAGACTAAGAATGGCTTATCAGAGAAGTCTTTCTAGGTAGATATGAGTTTGCAATCTTTAAAAGTAATGCATTCTCCTTCATAAATGCCTTAAAAGTTTCCAGTTTTTCTGAAGTTGTGATTTGGTCCATTTAGAAAGTCCATCTCATTGATTAGAAAGCATCTATCCCTGGCTGTTTGGCTTACATGGATAAGGCAGTGTTGTTTTATGGTTTCAAAATCATATCTATGCTTTCTCCCTCATTTTATAAAGATCTCATGATGCAGGCCCATCAAGATGGACAAAAATGTTTGTCTTTGAAGTTACTATTACTGCAGTTGAGTGTGTGGTTTCTTTTTTTGTATAATTTTGATATTCTTCCTGGTGCTACCATACTGATAAATGAAAAATGGCTAATTATTACCCGATGCAGATATAATTCTATATCTTAACGATACTAAATCGGTATTAGTTTAAATGTTAACTTTTTATGTTAATGAACATTTTCTCCTTTCCTATATCAAAATATGGAAATTTTATTAAATTTTAAATAAATCTGAAAACAAACTATAATTTCCAATTTGTTTGTTTATTATTCTATTTATTTATAGTTAAGTTTTTAATTTTATCAACTGTTTAATTCAAAATACCATGTTTATTTTTATGTTGTACAAATGTTAATTTTTATCTAATTTTCTATGAATTTTGTATTAAAAACTATCTTTATTATACTTAACAAAAAGTTCAAAAAAAGTTAAAACAATCAATCTTTTGTATATTTATCATTGGAAATTGAAGTTTTATAGAAGAAATACCGAAAAGATTTTGTTAAAA